AGGGAACATAACTCAACATTAACTTAAATTTAAACCATATATTGACTTACCCTGTTGTACAAGAACATTCTTTGTCCTTCACCTGAAGTGTCAATATGTGGGGTGCCTGACGCTTGCATTGCGACTGGTGAGCTTTTCCTTCTATTTTAATGTTCTCGTGATTTATACTCTGCCAGCAGATGATATTGTGAATGTAGATATCTCCGAACAGTTGTTCCAGAAATTTGATGTTATTTCCTTTGGAATATCTCTCACTGATATCGCTGAAAACTCCATATTTCTTATGCTAGGAGCGAAAGCTTGACGGACGTGGCAACAGTAACTAAGGGGGGCGGGGCTTAGCGAAGGGTCAATTGAGACGGGCCTTTATTTGTCAAAATGTGTGGCCACATCAGGCTAGGAAAAAGGACTGGGTGTTTAATTGGGACTAGACTTCTGATTTAAGTTTTATGGTGTGTGATTAATGCTAGATCAATGCTGATCTTGGGTGGAGAAATACTGAACAGGAAATAATACACTTTTACGTTACAACACAACAGTTTTTTGTTGGCAAAAGAGTTGCTGAGTTATACAATTTAATAAAACGCTCTGTGAACCTTCATACCTGCATTTTTTAGGGTGCTCATCTCTCTTGTTGTTGAACTCAAGGGAAATCTTGGCATCCAGGCCGATACCGAAGTAATTGTTCATCACACACTTCTCTGAGCATTGTCTGCAAACACAGAAAAATATGTAGATTAAAATGTGATAATACATTAAAACACAGCTGGTACGTGACAGACACAGATGTACGAATGCCTGCAAACAGATGAGCGCACATGAAGACTTACACAGTGTCCTCGCTGAAGGTGACGGTGTGGAGGCTCTCTGGTTTCTCAAGGACAATGGGGGAGGTGGGACTTAAGCTTCCTTGACCTGGACGGAGGCATAATTGGTTACTTTGATAAAAAAATGTTCAACAATAGGATAGAGTTTCTAAAATTGAAATTATCAATGTTTAATAAGGCAAAGTTTAGCAGATTATGAGCTATCCTTGAAGGAGTGGGTCGTCATCAAACCGTCCCTGACAAAATGCAGTCGTGATAGTTTAAAATACTGATGTACAAGCAGCATTTTGAGGAGCGCGTCTCTTCACCTTGTGTCCCCGCTGAGCTCAAACCAAAGGGACACTTACGTGGCTCAGCATCCTTCAGCTCCTCGCTGTTTTCTCTTTTGATGGAGGATGAGGACGACATCCTCTGGACCTGCGTGTGTCGGTTCTGTTCGTCCACCACTGAAATGATGACATTGGTGAACTTAAATACAAAGTACTCAAGGCATGATCGTGTCAAAATGATTCTGACAGAAGAAGAAAGGAAAAGCAGGACGAGGAACACGATGAATTCACTCGAGTTACCTTTCTCTGCCTGTTCGATGATCTGCCTCAGGGCTTTCTTCAGGCTGTTGGCCCTGAGCATCAGCTGCTCCTTGGAACGGTACGTTTTACCCTCTGAACCGGACTCACCGCCACTTTCTCCGGGGCTCGAGCCGCCGCTTTCCTGGCTCGGCACCGAACCTGCTGGTACCACCTGATTGTGGCAGGGAAATAGAGCACGTTATAATACGTCTGTATAAGCCATCCTGGTATATTCCCATTAGGTGACCTTTTTGTTTAATTCCTGATGTTATCCGATTCCCTGATGAGATTTATTTAATTTTAAGAGCAGGGGAAACCCTGCAGCATTGTCTCATTATCACTAAAGCAGCAATATTAAAACAGAAAATGTCATCTCATTCATACATCTTTAGTACTCCTGCTCCGTGGAGTCTAACAGTAGTGCGTCATCGCTCGTTTCCAGCAATAAAGGCAGGTTAATATTCATTTACAGGCAGCACTGAGGAAGAGGATATCCATATTTTATTTATCCAATATGAAATGGTGCTCGGTGCAAAGCTTGGATTCAGTGCCTTCCTCCCTTTATTGAGCAGGAGGTTGAAATCATACTGACATTTTGAGGGCTCCATTACTTCTTTCAGAGCACCGACATCAATCTGAGAATAAGAGACTCCAAAGGGAGCAGAGAGTCTAAAAGCTGTGTGCAGTTTTGTTTTTTAGCTCCTGTGAGGAGACTTAAGACGTGTGAAAAACCATCATTGTTTTCTACTGCTACTCCCATAAAGGCTCAGATTGAATCGGGAGGGGATTTAAAAACTGAGGGGGAACGTTTTATATCCTCTCTGATCAAACGACAGCATTCAGCATCTCAAAAATATAGTGTGCAGTCTTCAACTTCATCATTATCTCACTAGGTGGAAAATAGAGATGCATGATATTGGATTTTTTGCTGAAATCCGATATGCCGATATGTAACAACTCATTTGACCGGTAACTGATACCAATATATCCCTACCTAATTTTAGTGATCATCAAGCCCTTCAGTAGTGGAATTACCATCATAATATGCATGTATACCTTTAAGGCCCATTTATGTTCAACATTAAATACAGATCCGGATACGGACGGAGCCTTCTGTCCGTGCTCCGCGTTCATTTCGTCCGTATTTCTGCACGTTTCCATAAAGCTTACGGATACGGGCCAAACGGAGCAGTACCACCGGAAACCGTGGGGGCAGTGTTGCTGTCACTACCCGATACGTAGCTCTAGTAAGACACGAATAAGAAATAACAATGGCGGTCATCGAAGTACTGGAAATGACACTCGTCGTCAGTTTCCCTCATTGGCAGTACTAGAGACTTTGTCTTTTATGCAAGAGGTACATTATCAATATCTCCTCCACAGTCGCAATGTTTGTTTTTGAGTTTGTTGTCATAAACTTTTGACTCTGGGCTGCCCCCTGGTGGATATATTGGTTAACATCCATGCCAATGTAAAAGACGCATGGAAGTATGTGGGCAGTGACGGTAACATCATTTGAAACGGACGTATACATTTTCGTACGTAAAGGGAGCATAAATGGGCCTTTATCATGACAGCCCACCAGCAGATGGAGACATGAAATACAATGCTTTCAATGTGTGTAATATTCATTCACTGTGCAAAACAAGAAAAAGCATGTTTACCGATTCTGAGATTTCATTTTAAAGCCAGTACTGGCTAGTACAGATGATGTGCAGATATCATTTTGCATCCCTAGTGATATCAGAAACTGACATTTTGTGCCTAATTAATCATCCTTACATTGACCCAATGATGCCAGGCTACTCACATGGTTAGACATTGATGTTTGGTTGAATTTGGGTTATGACGTCGCGTGATGAACATTCTATGTCAAGAGTGTCTAACGCCAGTGTCAGGGATTCCCACGTTTATTTATGTGTGGCGGCCCATCATGATGAAAAAACATCTGCTGCCATGTTTTGATTTTCTGTTTTTGGACCATATGATCTGATCAGCTCTGATCGGTTTGATGACTCAATTACCAAAAATATAAATAAGTGTGAAATCAGGCTGCTTTCAGACCTAGAGTTGTCTTGCTTTGGTCTGAATCAGGGACTAATTTTGTTATGAAGCTGCATAATTGCCTAGAGTTGGTTCGTATTCTCACGGCAGCATTTACACGCAGACTAGATCAAAGAAAGCTGCTCTTGACTGGTCAGAATTTCCATGCGGGAAAAATCCAGGAAGTAAACAACACGTTGAAGAAGAGTACACTTGCAAGATAAATGTGACACTTTCTAATGTCACAATGGAGGGACAACTACGCAGGTTGATTTTAGCGCTGCTCATCGTGGACTATATTGCTGTCATTGTTC